AGGAAGACTTTGGATGAGATGGATTAACTCAGTGCCTAGAGTAATGGGGGTAAGTGTGTCAGAGCCAATGAAATTGGCTCAAGATAGAACAAGGTTCAGAGCTGTTGTACCTAGTGTCATTATGAGTCAGAGTCAGATCGATGGCACACACCACCACCACCACCACCACCACCACCAACAACAACAACAACAACAACAGCATTCTTATTTGGTCTTCCTTATTGTCCAGTTTTTCCGTGTACATGAAATAATCGCTAATACCATGGCTTGTGTTAAATGTACTTTCCTCTTGAAGATGACATCATTGCTCTTTAGCATTTTAAAGAGCTTCTTGACAGTTATTTAATTTGTTGACTGCTGTTTCCATAAGTATTAATTTTACATCCAAGTAAAGTGATAGTCTTGAAAATGTAAACCTTTTCTCTCTTCATCATACTACTGTTTATTGAACCAGTTGTGAGGATTTTTAAGACCCACGCATATCTAGGCATTAGTTATTTGAGATAGCATGTACCAGAGATCAGAGGGAAAAGATTTTTTCTGTAAGTGGTAGTATGGTATTTAATGGGGAAAACATTGAAATTGGATTCCTACCTAACACCAAGCACAAAATTAACTACTTATGGGTGTTAAGGACTTAAATATAGAAGACAGAGGCTGCACAGTTTGGTGGGGTGGGTTCAAGGGGGGAAGGAAATGGGAATAATTTGAGCAAAAAGTCAGGGTAATGTTGGGCAATGTCCAGTGGTAATTAATTTTGTAAAACATAATGCATGAGAATGCATGAAACAATGTAAATGAAGAATAGTGTGAAACACAATGTGTATGAATTTTGTAAGCAAACCAATATAAAATAAACATGAAAAAGAAAAAAATTTGAAGAAAGTATGAGAAATAAGCTGAATGCACTCTGTGTAAGGAAGGATTTCTTAAACCAGATTCGGAAAGCATATGCCATAAAAGGGAAAAGTTGATAAATCTTATTAAATGAAAATGAGCATTCATTAAAAAAGAAACCAACTCCACCAAAAAACCCCAAACCCTGCAAAACATGAAAAGAAGGAGAAGACAGCACCACAACAAGATAAAGGTAAATAACCCAATTGCAAAATGGGCACAGGATATGAACAGACACTTCACCAAAGAAGACATTCACAGGGCCAACAAGCACATGAAAAATGTTCAAAATCCCTAGCTCTAAGAGAGATGCAAATCAAAACAGCTATGAGATATCATCTTACCCCAGTAAGAATAGCAAAATTTAACAGAGCAGCAATCAACAAATGCTGGCAAGGTTGCAGAGAAACTGAAACCGTTATTCACTGTTGGTGGGAGTGTAAAATGGTACAGCCACTGTGGAAGGCTGTATGATGCTGTCTCAAAAAGTTGCAAATAGAAATACCATATGACCCAGCAATTCCATTACTGGGAATATACCCTAAAGAAACCAAAACTGCCACCCAAGCAGATCTATGCACACCCATGTTTATTGGGGCTTTGTTCACAATAGCAAAGAGTTGCAAACCACCTAAGTGCCCATCATCAGATGAATGGATAAGAGAAAACTGGTATATTCACACAAGGAATACTACACAGCATTGGGAAACAAGGAACTCATGAAATATTACTCAAAATGGGTGACCTTGTAGGACATTGTGCTGAGTGAAATATCTCAGTCACAAAAGGACAAGTGCAGCATGGTACCGCTATTGTAGAAAGGGACTGACATTAGGGTTGGGGAGAGACTGAGAAAAATTGGATAAATTATGTATATTGCATTGAAACAGATGAAGGAGAGAACTGTTTGAAAGCGATATATGATTGGGTATTATGGTTATGACAGGAGTCTAGAAAGAAGGTTGCATAGTGGAGTGTACTTGGGGCGGGGGATGGGGGGATTCTATACCAATGAAATAATTTTACTTTTCAAAGAGAAGCGCGAACTGGGGAGAGGGGTGGGCTGGGAGAAAAACGCAACAATGAATGTATGGAAATCCAAAATCTCTGTAAACGTTCATTAAAATTAATTTTAAAAAAAATTCAAAAAAAAACCAAAACAAGAAAACTTTAAAAAAGAAGAAAAAAAGAAGCCATAAATAGTAGAAGAAAAAATTTTCCAAATGTAATACTAACAAAAGATTAGGATTCTGTATATCTAAAAATAAATCTTATTTATCAATCAGACGAAACCCACCCAGTTTAAAAATGAGCTCAGGCACTTTTAAAAAAAGAAGATGACAGTAACTGTATAAGTTTTGTAATTAATGTCATAAGACAAAATAGGAAAAGTTGAGTAAAAAATCAATTTTCTCTGTAAACTTTCACTCAAATTGCAATTAAACTAAAATAAAATAAAAGGAAGAACCTGAATGACCAAAGAACCAAAGCAAAGATGACAGACATCATTAGTATTCAGGAAAGTGAAAATTAGAAACACAGAGAGAGACCATTTTTATGTCCATCAGATTTGCAAATGATGGCAATTCTGACAAAATCAAGTGTTAGCTCAGATGTGAAGAACTGAGACTCATCCACCGCTGTTAGTTGCTGTGAGCCCTTCTTTCAATTACTGGTAAAGCAGCACACACATAGACACACACATACAGTCTCTTCTCTCTTTCCATTACAGTCTCTCTTCTAGGAATATACCAATTTTTTATCTTCATTAATTTTTGCCTTCAAAGTCTTGTTTAAGAAATCCTTTCCAGCCCAAAGACATTCCCATGTTTTTCCTGAATTTTCTTCTAAATGTTTACAGTTTTGCCTTCCATATTTAGGTCCTTAACTGACCTGTAGTTGAGTTTGCATGTGTGCACCAGAACACATAACACAAGAATGCTCATAAAGCAGGGTTTGTGGCCTCACAAACTTCAAACCAACCCAAATGTTCCTTGATGGTAAAAGTGAATATATTATGATGACATATAATGTAGTTCTACGCAGTAGTGATGTAAATGAACACAGCTACATGCTTCAATATGAGTGATGCCCAGAAATAAAACACTGAGCAAAATAAGGAGTTGAGAGGAATGAAAAATGTTACTAATTTACATTTCAGAAGTCAAAGCTTAAAAATATATTTGGGGAAGTAAGTTACCATTTATCAGTAAGTCAGAATTATGGCAACATCTGGAGGAATTAGAGGTTTGTGAAGATCAAGAGAGATATTGGGGCTTCCAATGTACTGGAAGCTCTGGTGGCATAATTTATGGTGCAGTGTGTTGCTAACTAAATGTGGCACATTGGAGCAAATTTGAATCCACTAGATACTACTCAGGAGAAAGAGCAGCCTCTTCCCACAAAGATTTTACAGCCTCAGAAACCCGATGGAAGGTCACTGTGCATTGGAATTGACTGGACAGCAGTGAGTTTGGTTTTTTATTTTAATGTGGTGAAAGAGAGCCCTATTTGTGCCCATTCCAAAAAGAGGTGATGCACAGAATGCAGAAGCCATCAGACAACATCACTAATACCTTTAATACCATTTTAGTGTAACTAAAATTTTGTTTAAAGTAATTAAAAACCAATTATAGCTATATATCAATAGGAAATTCAGAAATCTAAGCTCACAAAAGGAGTTGGAACAAAAGATATCAATGCTGATGTCAAATGGATTTTGGCTGAAAAGAAAGAATACTAGAAATATGGTTACTTGTGTTTTATTAATTATGAAAGGGTATTCAACTGTTCGGGTCATAACAAGTTATGAATTATATTTTGAATAATGAGAGTTAAAAAATGCTTACTTGTGCTCATGTAGAGTTTGTACATAGATGCTGAGTCAGACATAGGAACAGAACAAAGGGATGCAGAGTGTTTTATTATTTTTTTCTTTTAGAGTGTTTTTAAAGCAGGTAAGTCTGGGTTGTATCCTTTAGTCATATGTATTTATTCTTTATGCTGAGCAATAATTCAAGACTCTAGGCTATCTGAAGAAGAATGCAGCATTAGGATTCGAGGGAGCCTCATTAATAACTTGTAATAGGCACATGACACAATTTTTCTTACTGAATGTGAAGAGAATTTGAAGCACTTACTGAAGAAAACCAAAGCCAGTAATTAGGCCTTCAATATTGGGTTACATCTCCCCATAATGAAAACTAAATCCTCATGACTGGACCAATAAACGTTGTGATAAATAGTGAAGAGATGGAAGTTGTCAAGGATTGAATGTGATCTGGACTCAGAATCCAGTCCATGGAAGCAGCAGTCAGGGAAGCAAATGATGTTTTACATTAGACATAGCTGTTGCAAAAACATCTCTTTAAATTATCCAAAATCAAAGATGTCTCTTTGAGAACTAAGGTATGCCCAAGTTAAGTCATTGTATTTTCAATTGTCTCACATACACGGGAAAACTGAACAGTGAATAAGTATGACTGAAGAAGAATTAGTATGTTTGAATTCTGGTGTTAGTGAGGAATATTGATTTTACTAGAGGCCTCCAGCGAACACCATGAACTTCATCTCAAGTACTTTAGACACTGTCCATTCCATAGCAAACAGGAATGATTTTAACCTCACAGTCTTTCTAGGAGTCCTGGTGGGGTAGTGGATTAAGCATTGATGAACAAACTGAAAGGTTGATGGTTCAAGCCCACCATCTACTCGGTGGGAGAAAGATGAGGCTGTGCACTTCTATAAAGATAGCGCCTTGAAAGTTCTAGGGAGCCAGTCCTTTAGGGTCATTGTGTGTTGGAATGGATTCACAGAGGCTGTGAGTTTGATATACTTTAACAGAGAGAAGCCTGCACAGTACAGCAACTAAACACTCATTTTTATAGACTGTTGGGAGGATTAACTGAATTAATACATATAAAATACCTGATCACTACATATTGAACTTTACCAGCCCCACTGCTCCTGTCATCTTCTCTGGCTTTTGAAAGAAATCCCTTAGATCACCAGCTTAGTCAGGCTTATGATTTATATTGACTGGGATAACATGTACCCTGTAATCTGTCAGTAAGCTTGTATCTTCAATCTTGCTTATTTTCCAGGGGTAATTGGCTGTGGATACTTTGATCCTTGTAGAAACTTCAAACCTGAAGTATGTGAGATGATTCTGAATTTAGTCTCAGCGGCCAGAGTGCTGTGGCAGTGGACAAAGGTATAGAGTGGTGTGAAGTCAACTGTAATTCAGCCTTCTCCTTTCCATTTGCCTCATTTAATCATCATAGCATTATATGTGTAGTGATGGGGTGTTTTTCTTTTTTAAAAAAGAAAAATTATGTGCTCAAATAGATTTATGACACCTTTACCTTCCAGAAAGCAAATATTCTAACTGAACGAGGTTTTCAATATGTATGAGATATTACTGTAAACCAGACAAGATGTCTAAGATAAAGTAGAATTTTTCAGAAATGAGGACATTTCTTTTCCACTTTTACTCTTATTTGTATGCTTGTCTCCCCATCCCAAGTCTGTCAGAACTTCAGTAAATCTTTGTTGACTGAGGAAAGACATGGATTATCGGCTATGCCTAGCTGACCAAGGTTTAAAGTGTAACTTGCATGTTTTCTGAAGTTGAATATGAATTAGTAAATGAATCAAAGTGTTATCAAAGGAGCCTTAGGATCATAAGGGTCAGGTTGCCAGCTAAAAGGTCAAAAGTTTGACTCCATTGCTGTGAGAGGGAAAAGTAGCCACATGCATGTCATTGAGATTTACAGCCTCATAAGCCCAAGAGAAGGTTGTCATGAGTCTGCTTTTAATACAGTTGACTTAAAGGAAGTGGGTTTTGATTTGGTTTTTAACGAAGGTCCTTGGTGGTGCTTGATAATTGGTGATTTGAACTCAGCCAGTTGTGCCAGAGAAGAAAAACCTGACAAATATGCTTCCTTCAAGGTCATACCCAAGAAAACTTTAAGGAGTAATTGTCTGTCAGAGATGAAGTTGTTGTAAGCCAGAATGGAATAACAGCAAAGGTTCTTGGGCAAAGCTGAACCCAGAACTGAACTATGGCTGGCCCCAGATGACACTGGGCAGCACTTCAGAAGGGTCTGACAGAAAAGCAGGATTGATAAATTTTCTAAAATGTGATGGAAATGCTAAGGACTAGTTGCTGTGGTCCACTCTACATCCACATTACACACAACTAGGTAGGAGCTGATGCCTGAAGTGTCCAACCTTCAGCTTCCCAGATGGACAGGACAAATTCTAGATACAGAGTTACCAGAAGTTGAATGAGGTTTTCCTGTTAAAATACTCTTCCACACAGCCTCTGGCAGCAATCAGTTCCTTGAATCGGGTTCTGCTTCATGTCAGCACAGAATCACTGCACCTGCCATGCCCACTCTCTGAAACTCAAAAGCTACCTATTGAATGGATAGGTGAATGAGTGGCTGAGTCTTCAGTGTCTGAGATAATTTTGAGCTCTGAGCTCCATCTGGTTCCTGGCAGACTTATTGTTCAGTTAGATGTGCTCTAAATGTAGACTTGTCTGAAAGCTCTGACCTTAACAAAGGAGCCTCTCCATCAAAACTTCTTTTGTTATATGAATGTTTATTTGCTCTCTTTTCCTCCCTTTCTTCCCTTCTTTACCCCATTTCTGCACACATGGATTCCCACTGTTCTCATCAAGGTCACCAAGGCCTCAGTTCTGTCAAATCCAAAGGTTCCTTTTCTTCTTCCTTTTACTTTTCAACAGCATTTGACATTTATCTGCTCCTTCCCTGTAAACTCCTCCCCTTCCCCCCTTATAGCTTCAGAGGCTTTACACCTTCGCAATTTCCTTGTATTTCACTGGTTAAAAGTTCCCCTTATCCTCCTCTTCTAAATACCAGAGTGCACCTGGCTCGATGTTAAGACTGTTTTTCCATCTACATTCTTACCCTAAATGGTCATAATCCAACTTCAAAGATCATTAGGCTGTAAAATTACTCTACAGATATCTCTTAAATATGCTTTTTAAGTGTAAATGAGTTGCTTTCAAGTTGGCTCCTACTCATAGTAATGCTTTGCCTGTTATTGTGGACCTGTGCTCCATAGAATTTTCAATGGCAGATTAATTTTTAGCTTAGAAGTGGGCTTTTCTAGCCATTGTATTAGCCCTCTCTGATCTCCAGCTCCTTAACTGCAGTCACATGTTCTTACAAATCATCAACAGCTGTGTGACTAGGATGAGAGAGAGAGAGAGAGAGAGAGAGAGAGAGAGAGAGAGAGAGAGTGTGAGAGTGCTTCCCACACTGAGAAACAAGACTTGAGGGAGACTAGAGCAAGACCAGAGAGAGACCCTGGTGAGAGCGAGACCCTGACGGCAGGACCCTGATTAGAGAAAGACCCTGGTAATGGTGGTGGAGAGACTGTTTCATTGCAGTGGGTAAACTGTGGCAAGATGTAACCAGAGAAGTCCTAAGATAAAGGCCATGGTTAAAGGTTTTGCTGTTCTTGCCAGATGATGGAAGGAAAAATTGACTGCAGAACTGAAACTGGAGCTTGGACTAATTGAGTTGTGCCTTATGACTTATGGCCTATAACTTGCATTTGAATTGGGTGATATTCTTTGCCTCCTCCACTCTTCAAGTTATTTCCCTAATAAACCTCACTTTGTCCTACAACTGTGAGTGAAGTCTGTGAGTCAACAGTGAATGTCAAACCCAGTAGTTGGTAGAAAGCGGTGCAGGAGCAAGGGGGTGGGCTGCCTGACCTAGCAGCTCTCTATTTGCTGCTATGGTTACTATTGATGGAAAGAGTTCCCCTTATAAAGCAAGCAGAAGTCAGCCACCGCCATCTCCATGTTGCAGCTGCTACTTTTGCCACAGATTTTTCAGAAATACATCTCCAGGCCTTTTTTCCAAATCACCTCTGAGTGGCCTTGAACTTCTAACCTTTTGCTTAGTGAAAGGTTAGAAAGGGCTTTTTCATTTGAAAAGGCTTGTTCATAAAGGACTTGTGAAGGGAAAACTTGCTTATTTGTTTTCAAATATGATATAATTGATACCATTTGTAATCTTTAGAAAGATCATGTATAGTGGATCTGTAAATGAGAATTTATTACTGTTAAAATTTTTATAATTTGGAAGTTATTATGCCTTTTTTAGATTCTATAAGTTGATAGAAATAGTAAGTAAATGAACTGAATACAAAATCCTCCCTCAAACCATCTATTACCTAATAGAAGCGAGTGAAACTTAAACTTGTTTGTCAATCTGTTGTAGATAGAAAAGGTCAACTCCTTCCTACTAAAAAATGTCTTAATTTGAGAGACATCTATTCTCTTGATTTTCTCCTACCACATTGGCTATGTTTTTTAAAGTTCCTTTTAATATTCTAAATACTGCAATGTTATTTTAAAGTATATGGACTGGCTCTCAATCCCACAGTAAAATCCAGATTATGGTGCCAAATATATTTGTGGACTTTGAAATCCATGAGGATAGTAGAGAGTCAGCACAAAAATGGAAGACTCTCAATGAGATAGATTGACGTAGTGGGTGCGTCAGTGGGCTCAAGCACAGGATGGTGATGATGGTACAGAACTGTGCAGAGTTTGTTTCTGTTGTTCATTAGGGTTGCTATGAGTCATAACTGAGTCAGTGGTACCAAACAACAAGAGAAGAACAGTAACATAAACAATCCATACAAGATAGTCATCACTGACTTTAGATGTGAACACTCATTCTTACCTGCATGTCAGCCATCTCACATTCAGGTTTTTATGAAATATTTTCATCTATACACTAGAATGATTATTCCAACATTTCCTGTGTTGTTGTGCTTACGTGCCCTCAAGTCAGCTACAACTCACAGCAATCTCTTAAACAACAGATCTGACCTTTGTCCTATTCTGTGCCATCCTCATGATCTCTGTCATGTTACATAGTTAGATTCACCATGTTAAACTATCTTGTAGAATATCAAGGACAGGTCCTTGCTGACAACATGGCCAAATTGTGTGACATGATACTTCTATAATTGTTGAGAACTAAAAGGAAGTAACAAGTTCAAAGCCAGCCAGTAGTAGTAGAACTGGCATTGTACGTTGTTCTTGAATCCATCCTACTCAAGGATTTATGGTCTTGTTGTTATATGCTCTTTGAGTCATTTGCTCTCTCTTGAGTCATTTGAGACAATTTCATTGTCTCTGATGCACCTAACCCTCATTACCCCAGTGACTGAGTCAATTCATCTCGTCCAGGGTCTTCCTCTCTTGCACTGTCCTTCCACTCTTCAAAGCATGATGTCCTTCTCCAAGGACTTATCTCTCCTTACAACATGCCCAAAGTATGTCAGACAGAGCTTCAAATCCTTGCCTCCAAGGAGAAGCCTGGCTTCATCCTCTCCAGGACAGACATGTTCTCTTAGCAGTCCGTGATATGTTCAATACTCTTCTCCAGAACCACAGCACAAAAGTATCAATTCTTCTCCTATCATCCTTAGTCATTGTCCAGCTCTGTAATGCATAGCAAATGATTGTGAAGACCATGGCCTGGATCAGGTACACTTTAGTCTCTAGATTGGCATCATTACTCTTCAGTACTTTGGAGAGGTCCTAGACAATATATTTCCCCCAGTGCTGTTCATCTTTTGATTTCCTGGCTGCTAATACCAAGATAGTTGATTGTGGAGCCAAACAAACTGAATCTGAAAAATCTCAGTCTCTTCACTGTCTGTCATCATTCTGCCATTTGGCCCAGTGGTGAAAATTTTTGTTTTCTTGATATTGAGCTTCAAACCATATTGAAGGCTGCAGTCCTTGACCTTCTGCAGCAATGCCTCAGGTCCTCCTCAGTTTTGGCGAGCAAAGTTGTAACATTTGCATATCACAGGTTGTTGATGATAAGTCTTCTTGATGCCAGATTCTTCATCATAGAGCGTAGCCTCCCAAATGATCTGTTCTGAATATAGACTGAAAAAGTATGGAGATAGGATGCATCCTTGGCATACACCTTTCCGGATTTTTAACTATGCACTGTTTTCTTGCTCTGTTCTGATTACTGCCTCTGGGTCCAAGAATAGGTTTTGCATAAGCACAATAAAGTGTTCTGGGATTTTCATTCTTTTCAGAGTTAGCTGCAGTTTGTTGTTAACCACATAGTCAAATGCCTTTGCATAGTCAATGAAACACAGATATTCCTCTAGTACTCTCTGTTTTTAGCCAAGATCCATCTAACATTGGCTATAATATCCCTAGTGTCACAGCCTCTTCTGAACCTAGCCTGCACAGCTGGCAGTTCTCTGTTGATGTGCTGTTCCAGTCATTTTTTTGATAATTTTCAACATTATCATGCTTGCATGTGGCATTAGTGATATTGTTTCATAATTTCCACACTCTGTCAGGTTACCTTTTCTTTTGGTAATGGGAATAAATACAGATCTCTTCTAGTCAGTTAGCCAGGTAGTTGTCTTCCAGATTTTTTGGCACAACCTGGTGAGTGCATCCACAGCAGCAATTATTTGTTGAAATGTGTCAATTTGTATGCCCACAATTCCTGGGGCCTTGTTTTCTGCCAATATCTTTAGAGCAGCTTGAGCTTCCTCCTTCATCAACCGTAGGCTCTTAATCATATGTTGTTTCATGAAATTCTTCTGTGTCAGCCAAGTCTTTTTGATATGTACTCTTTCTGTCTTCTTTTGATGCTTCCTGAGTCATTCAGCATTTTTTCCACAGTATCTTTAAGTATCGCAACTGAATTCTTGAATTTGTTCTTCAGTTCCTTCAGCTTAAGAAATCTTGAATGAGTTAATCCCTTTTGTTTTTTCCAACTCCAGCTCTTTGCACATTTCATGATAATACTTTGTCTTCCCGTACTTCCCTTTGAAATCTCCTGTTCAGCTCCTTTACATCTTGATTGCTTTGCTTTGCTTTGGTTTTTTGATGCTCTAGTGCAAATTCAAAGTCTCTTCTGACATCTGTTTTGGTCTTCTTCCTCTGTCTTTGTAATGATCTTTTGGATTCTTCGTGGTGCTATTCTTTTTTTTTTTTTAGATTGAGATTTTAATGTAAGTTTATAGACAACATGGATTTCCATTCATTCATTGTTACACATTTTCCTCCCTGCCTCCCAATTCTCTTTTATCTTGGGGAAAAAAATTCTTTCATTGCTGCACAATCCCTGCACCCCCCCAGTCCACCTTATCATACAGCTCTTATTCTAAACTGTTGTCATTCAAACAATACCCAATCATATTTCCTTTTAAGCTGTTATATTCCTCATCTGTTTCAATGCAGTGTACATTATTTACCCCTTATTTTCTGCATTTCTCCCCAGCCCCCATGTCAGTCCTTAATTATAACAGTGGCATTATGCAATATTTGTCCTTTTGTGATTGAGATATTTCACTCAGCATAATGTCCTCCAGGGTCACCTATTTTTTATAACATTTCACGAGTTCCTTGTTTTTCAATGCTGCATAGTATTCCATTGTGTGAATATACCACAGCTTCTCTATCCATTTGTTTGTTGATGGGCACTTGGGTTGTTTTCAACTCTTTGCTATTGTGACCAATGTAGCAGTATAATTTATAGAATACTTGAGCACCACAACAAAATAAAGGTAAACAACCCAATTGAAATATGAGCACACGATATGAACAGACACCTCATAAAAGAAGACGTTCAGATGGTGAACAAACACATGAAGAAATGTTCAAAATCCCTAGCTCTAGAAGAAATACAAAGAAAAACAATTGTGAGGTATCTTTTTACCCCAGTAAGAGTAGCAAAATTCAACAGAGCAGCAAACAACAAATGTTGGCAAGGTTGTGGAGAAACTGGAACCCTTATTCACTGTTGGTGGGAGTATAAAATGGTGCAACCACTCTGAAAGACTGTACGGTGCTTTCTCAAAAAGTTGGAAATAGAAATCCCATTTGACCTAGCATTTCTACTACTGGGAATATACCCTAAAGAAATCAGAGCTGCCACCCAAACAGATATATGCACTCCCATAGGTGCTGTTTTTTATATCCTCCCACAGCTCATCTGGTCTTCGTTCATTAGTGTTCAAGGTCCCAGATCTGTTCCTGAGATGGTCTTTAAATTCAGGAGGGGTAGACTCAAGTTAAAAATTTGGTTCTTGTGGATTTGATTTTTCTTTAGCATCAGTTTGAATTTGCATACAAGGAGTTGATGATATGATCCACAATAACTATCTGGCCTAGTTTTCACAGCTGATATTGAGCTTCTCCAATGATTTTTTTCCCACATTTGTAATCAATCTGACTCTTGTGTAGGCCATCAGGTGCAGTCTATGTGTATAGTCACCATTTATGTTTCTTATAAAAGGTATTTGCAATACATTTTCTATTAATTAATTTATAGAGCTATCTTATAAAATTTGTGAGAATTATTGTTATTGTCTTTAGATAAAGATGCTGCCAACTCCTTCAAAATTCCATTATATCTTCAATCTTCGAGATCTTTCCCGACTTTGGCAAGGAATGCTGGTCATAAAAGCTGAGGAGTGCAGTTCAGTACCTACTCTCTTATCACTTTTCAAGCATGAATGTAACAGAGTAATTGCAGACAGGTACATGTATTTGAGTTTAAACATAATGAATTGTATGCTAATACAAAGACCACACTTTTCTGATGGTTCAAATCCGTCTCTTGTTATTTACAGTTTTGGGTATCCAAAGGAAGGTTAACTGTGAGTCAAATCAGCTCAATTACAATGAGTTTATAAAAACAAACAAGTTTACATTACTAGATCAATTTTTGCATTAGTAATGAGTAGGGTAAAATTGTGGGGATCTGGTGCATTTCTGACTTGTTGGTCTTTTTATGATCTGCTAATTAAATGCTTTACTAAGTTATCCTGAGGAGTCTCTAGCAGACTAATGGTAAGGGATTGTGCCACAATCCCAAAGACAGGCAGTTCAGATTCACCACCTGCTCTGCAAGAGAAGGATGGACAGTTTCCTCCTGTGTTATTTACAGCCTCTGAAAACCTACTGGAGAGTTAGCTATGAGTTGGTTCTGACTCAACAGCCAGTAACAACAGCAGCAAAATATCCAACTATGATTTCAACAATACGCCTTGGTAAATCAGACAGTTGGTAAAATTTAGAGACAAATTTTAGTTGTACATTATTTATATATTGTTTGCTCTGTCCAGGTTATAGTTACTGTGTCTGTTCATCTCCCTGAGGGGCATCCTCTCTTTCTCTAGTGTTCTACCTTTCCCAGCATGGTTCAGATCTGTTGTTCACAGGGTCCCTGTGAGTTATACGACTTGAGGGCACCTAACAACAACAAGTATACAGGGTTTGTATCGTGAAATCTAGTGTATAAGGCCAGCTGTTTCCCTTGACCACAGTTTCCTAATATGAAAAATGTGAATCAATCCCACAAAGTATCTATCACAGTGCCTCTTCTATAGATGGTATTTACCACATATTAGTCTCCCTTCCTACTTCTCCCTGCTCCTAAGGGCTTGCATGTCAAGTACTATTTATCCATAAACTCAGAAAGAGGATACCTGTCCAGTAGTGATGGTCACCTGTACTCTCCCATTGCAGACTTTGAATACCATTGACCCTATCTAAGTGATCTGTCTGCTTTTCCTATCAATAATGCTATTAATGTTGTAACCACTTTGGATGGAGTCATGAAAAGGCAGAATAGATTGTTTTCCTAACCTGAAAGGGGGAAGAGATGAGGGTTGGGCCTGAGAGGAGGTTGTAGAGATGAGCAGTTAAAAGATGCATCCATATTTTGCATTTTTACTAGGAAATTTTCCTTTCAGATTCATAACTCCTGAAGATGAGCAGTGGTTTAATGTGCACCTTATCCGTGCTGTTGAGGAAAATGTTAGCCCTGAACTGGCATCTTCTATTCTTCCTGAACCGTACTTTGTAGATTTTCTCCGTGATATGCCTGAACCAACGGGTGATGAACCTGAAGATACTGTGTTTGAAGTTCCCAAAATCTATGAATTGGTATTTATTTTCATCCTTGTCACTACTTGTTTCTCCCTGCCTCCCCCTATCTAGACCTCCCAATAGTACTGCTATAACTACTGAGTATTTTGTATGTTGTAATTTGGAGTCATTATAGATCAAATAAAACACTTCTTCCAATTAATTAACAGGTTGTTATGTTGTTGTTGTTGTTGTTGTTGTTAAGTGCCGTTGAGTCGCAGGCGACTCATAGCGACCCTATGAAGGAGAGTCCTCAACGCTTGGGTGTCTTTCATCCTCTCTCCAGGTCCATAGGGTTTCTGGAGGACTCCTAATAAATTCAGGTATAAGACAAGCATGTCTGCTGTTAATATTATTATTTAATATTGCTTTGAGATTCTAGACAAGGCAATAAAAACAAGAAAAACAAAATAGGCATCAAATAGGAAGATATCAAAGTATCATTATTTGTAGATATTATGATTATCTACTTAAATAAATCTAAGAGGACTAGAAAAAAGGTTTTGAGTGGTAATAAGGTACTCTGCAATTCCTGAAGGCACATGGTTAAAATCCACCAGCCACTCCACGGAAGAAGGATGGACAATCTCCTCCATCAATTTACTGCCTCTGAAAACTCACAAGAGAGTCAGCAATGGGTTGTTTCTGACTCAACATCACACAACAGCAGTGAGAGTTAACTAATCTGTAACTCAATAACTAATTTCTATACAAGACTTAAAAGTTGCCAAAACTTAGTGGCACAGTGATTAAGCACTGAGCTGCTAACCAAAATGAGTAGTTTGAACCTACTTGCACCTCTATGGGGAAACCTCAGACATTCTGCTTCTGTAAAGGTTTAAATTATTGAGAACTCCATAAGTAGTTCTATTCTCTTTTACTGGGATGCTAAGAGTAGAAATTAACTTGATGACAGTGCGTGTAGGTTGGTATATCAAGGATTGGCAAATCATAGAGTCTGGGTCTAGTCCACATTTTGCTAGATCTCTTAGCTAAGAAGGATTTTTATATTTTAAATGGTTTTATAAAAGAATAGTATATAATACATAGACATTACATAAAAAGAAAATTTCAGTATCCATAAGTGAAGTTGTAGTGGAACATAATCATACTTCATTTGTTTACATATTGTCTTTTACTGCCTTCATGCTAAAAAGAGGGAGTTAATTAGTTATGGAGACTGAATAACTTACAAATCTACACATTTTTACTGTTTGGCTCTTAATAGACAAGGCTTGCCAAATATTGCTAGCTTTTGCTCTAGATCAACAATCCCTGGATGGAAAGTGGAACAAAAGAAATATTTCACCTAATAGCCACCAAAATGGAAAATATCTGGAAAGACAAATAATAAAGGAATTGCTTGAATAAATGATAGTGCATTATTCTTCCTAAATTAACATAGCTAAAAAATCCAGCTCATTGCTGTTGAACAGGAACCACTTCAGAGCTGACCCTCGGTTGGGTTTCTGACTCTATTAGTAGCACTGGAAGTTTGCCCATCTTTCTCCCTCACAGACACTGGTGGATTCAAACCATCAGAGACATGTAGCCTTTGGGTTAGTAGCACAATTCCCTATGGGTTATGTCACTGTTGTTATTGTTGTTAGGTGCTGTTGAGTCAAGTACAATTCATAGTCACCCTGTGAGCAACAGATGGGAACCCTGTTCTATCTTGTTGTATCCTCAACTCCCTAAACTAATGTATTGTTGCTGTTGTGTACCAATGAGTCAGAACCAACCCAAGGTGGACCCTCGGGCAGATTTTGAAGCAGTTAAATACACATAATCATTCATGAAGTTAGAAGCAAGATTCCAGAAGGATTTTTTTAAAAAGCAGGGTCATGCAACAAACATAACGTCTGAGAATTATGTAAGAAACTAACACAATGTGAATAGAGGAATGTGTGAAGCACAATGTATTTATAAATGAAACACAGTGCATACTAATTTGGTGTGCAAACCACTATAAAATAAAAATAATTCTGAAAAAAATTCTAAACAGCATGCAGATAAAAGAAATTAAATTGGAAGAAACAATACATAAAGCAAAGGGGAAAAAAATGTACTTATCATTGAGTGGATGCCAATGCATTATGACCTTGAAGCACAGATGAACTTCTCATAGAATTTTCAAGACTGAGTCTTTTGGTCGCTGATAGGCACATCTTTGTCATGTGGAGCACTGGTGGGTCCAAACCACTGGTCCTTAGATTAGCAACTGAATGATTTAACTATTGTCCCTGCAGAGCTCTGAGAGCAAACAATTTTACTTCAAAATGCCAAGGACTTATGTCTTTGACTACATAAACAATATGAAGAGTGTGAATATATTTTAAAAATCATAAATAGTATTGAAAACAAAAAACAAAACCAAACCCAAACTCTTAGAAAAATATTTGTTTGCACCCCTGCATTGATTATCACCATGAATAGAACCTGCTACTAGGTTTCCTGAAAGGAAGAGAGCAGAGATAATTTTGTATTGGGAACTTGACTAATTATATTAGTTTTCAGATCTCTGAGAATGAAATAGTTCAAAGTAGGTGAATGTATGGTGGATCTAGAATTCCATAGGTGGGGTTTTTTTCTCCCCCCCCAAAATTACTTTTGTGTTCCCTTACAATGGCTACTTTCATAAATATTTGACTTATTAAATAATCTTTTGCTTCTTCCCTTCTCTGCCCTCCTTGCTTTCCCTCAAGGTACCAAGTTTTGAATTCCTGGCTGAAAAACTGCAGTTTTACCAGAGGCAGTTCAATGAAATCATTAGAGGAACATCTCTTGATCTGGTGTTTTTTAAGGATGCCATGACTCATCTCGTCAAGGTTTGAACTATTGACCATTCACTGATCTAAATAACTAGGAAGACTCTTGATGAGATGGATTGATTCAGTGACTAGGGTAATGGGGGTAGGTGTCTCGAAGACAATATGATAGGCCCAGCTTAAAGCAGGGTGTAAGGCAGTTGTATGAGTCTCTATGAGTCATAAGCAACTCAGTGGCACATAACAACAACAACAACAAATTACAGTAAATTAGTAAATTTCAGAAGTAACTTTTGGGGAGAATAAATACTTACCAGATAACTTATGGAATAATGTCCATAGACTGGCTGCACTCACTATTCCAGGAAGCAGAGGCTTAATGGAAACTCTTTCTTTGAATCCATCAGCATGGCAACAGTTGGTTTTCAAGGACAAACTGATGGCCATTGTGTTTAGAGCTTTTTATATACTAAGTCAAAGAATTTTATCTTCCTAGAATGCAAACTAGAGAATCCTATGAAAAAACATTTCTTCCCTTACTTTATGGTTTCATACTATGGGAGTCCTATTCTCCATGGAGTTGGTTCCTTAAAAAGGCAAATTTCATGACTATGGACACACTGATATGGAAAGAACAGAAGTGCATTATCAAATTACAGTTTTAGTTTGCTTGACTCAACAGTCAACACTCTTGGTATCAGCAGCCAAGAAATCAAGAGACAAATTGCATTGGGAAAGTCAGCTGTCAGGGACCTCTCCAGAGTACTGAAGAGCAACGACTTCAAGCTGGAGACTAAAGTGCGCCAATTGCATGCAATCTATAGGAGAGCTGGGTGGTGACTAGGGATGACAGAAGGAGAAGGGATGATAGGCTTCAAGCTGTGGTGCTGGAGAAGAGTGTTTAATATACCATGAATTATTAGGAGACCAAACAAGTTTGTCCAGGAGAGGGTGAAACCAGTCTGCTTCTTGGAGGCAAGGATTCTGAAGCTCCGTCTGATATAATTTGGACATGTTGCAAGGAGGTACTGGTCCTTGGAGAGGGACATAATGTTTGGGAGAATGGAGGGACCGCGCAAGAGAGGAAGACCCTCAATGAGATGGATCGACTCAGTGATTGGGGTAATGAGAGTAGGCGTGTCAGAGACAGTGAGGTTGGTGTGGGATAGAGCAGGGTTTAGGGCTGTTGTACATAGGGTTGCTATGAGTTGCAATCAACTCAATGGCACATAACAACAGTTACCAATACAATCTACCTTGTATGGGTTAAGTGCAACCAAGTTGCCCCTTAGGGACAAAGAGGGTGAAATTGTGTCTCACGTACCGTGGCCTTGTTGCCAGCAGTGACCAATTATTTGAAAAACATGCCATGCTGGGAAAGGTGGAGAGTCAGCAAAAGGAAGGAAGACTCTCAGTGAGATGGACTGACACCATGATTGGAACAATTGGTTTGGGCATGGTGACAATTGTGAGAATGGCACAGAATAGGGCAAGGTTGTTCATAATGTTGCTATGAGTCAAAATCAATGTGGCAGTGCCTAACAGTTGCTATTGTAAAGCCATGCCTGACTCTGCAATGCCCTGTGCATCAGAGGGGGACTGTGCTCCATAGGATTTCCAATGGCTGATTTTTCTGAGTTAATCACCTAACTTTTCTTCCAAGGTGACTCTGGATAGAGTCAAGCCTCCAACTGAGTTAAACATCTGAGTGTTAACTCTGTTCATCACCCAGAAACTCCAGGAATGGATTTTAAACATCTTATTGCCACTGAAACTTGCTGAAACTGAGGAGGACCTGAAATACTTGTTGCAGAGGTCTACAGCCTTCAGTATGGATTGAGGCTCAATGTCAAGAAGACAAAGATTCTTACCACTGGACCAATTGGCA